AGGGAGGGCTTTTTCTGCCTTCTGATTGTCTCAGCATTGGAGATTTTTCTCCAGATAGTGAGGTATACATTGTGATTCAGAGGCAGGAAGTCAGCAGCTTTTTCCCTCTTGCCTTGTCTCCTATGTCTACTTCAGTACTCTTATGGAATAGATGCTTTTTCATTAAAATTTACATTTTGATCTCTGATTTGCCTGTTAGCTTCAAAACTTCCAGCACAGTATGTAGGAACTGCACTGTCACTGAGCCCTGAGCACTGTTTGGGGTGCTCCATTTGTGACAAAAGGAAGCAATGAATATACTATCCCATCTGTAAATCATGTGGAAGAAATGCTATGTTCTGTACGTGCTGCGAGTTGATTGATGTGATAGCAAGGCCTTGGAGGACAGGCTTATTGTCCTGATAACTGCTGTGTCCAGAGTATAGTGTCCATGACAGCAGGCAGCATCTGAGAGAGATTTCCACCGCTGAGAATCAGCGTGGGATGCTTTTGTTTATGTGGCAAATTTGTAATACAATAGGGGAGGTGATGAGATGAGTGCAAACGGATGCTGCTTTCAGGGAGCTGTTGTGTGATAAAGCACTAAAGCTCCATGCAGGAGAATTCAGGCCATCAGTGGAGGATGACACGGAGAATATATGTTCCCCTTCCTTCTTCCAGTTTGTTGCACTATCTGTCCACAGCTTTAGGAGGGTGCTAAAATGCTTGCTCGGCAGACACATTCTTTGTGTTGGACTGGCTGTTGTACAGAGCAGAGACCCTGCCCAGATACCTTTGTCTTTGTGGTATGCTGACAAATAGCACTAGTTCTCCTCCATTTACGTTTGACTCTTCATCGCTCCATGAATGACAGCTTTCTCCAGCATTTGAGTGATGGTCACACTGGCCAAGGCCATTTGTGGGATTTCAGAAACAACTCCGATTGAGGGTGGCCTGCAGGATCATACCTCCCCTTTACTTCAGAAGGGTTCATTGTCTAAATGGGTTTCATAAGGCCTGTTCGCTTCCCTCCCTCCTTGCAGCCCTGAGGCTGCCATGCCATTTTCAGGGAAAGCTTTTGTCGCCAAACGCATGGTGGAGTTTGAAAGAAAACTCATGTACAAATCAATAAACACTAGTACAGGGTGCCTTGTATGTATATGTCTCAGGCGAACCAGAAATCTATATGTCCCTTCTGCTAACAAAAGCTTATTTTCCATGGCGCTGAGCAACTACAAAAGAACAAGTTTTCAGCCCTGAAATGCCCTGGAGATTTGTGTGCTCATAATGGAGAACCCCGAAATCACTGACCCTCTAAATTCTTCAAATATTTTACATAGAATGATTTAAAAATTAATAAAATATTTTAAATTTTATTTTTTTTTCCACAAGAGTGGGCATTTTTATGCACAGCACTTGTACATACTGTTAAAACATCTTAAATTAATAGATAAAAATAATCTTTGGTGACACTTGAATATTAATTGCATCTTGATTCTTTTAGAGAAACCTAAACACTGGAAAGTAAAAAAGAAAATATTAAAAAAAATAAAATGTTTTTGATAAATGTGCAGAAGTTGTGTTCTCTTGTATCGTAAAAGGCAAATGCAAAAGTTGTCTTGCTTTCAGTAGATCCCCCTTGCAATTTATAAAGAAACTTGGTGAACTTGCAGAACATCCTCTTAATTCTCAGTGATTTCTCTCCCATCACACAACTTCTTAACACTAATGAATAATTGCAGAGAGAAGTCATAAGAGAGTCTGGTAAGATGTTGGGTTGATAAGAATTGTTAAAGGCTTTTATTTTGTTTTAGTTTTATTTTTAAAGCAAACACCATTTCTCTACTAAGAATAATGCAAGAACAAAATCAAATTACAACCTGTGGCTGAAGGTTAGCTGTATTAATGCTGTCAGCATCTTTTCTAATCACTGGTTTTATAGTAATTTTCTTTCAGGATTTCCCCAAGTGCTTTTACATTAAATTTTGTTTATTTCCGAGTTGCTAGTGTATCTAGGGCTTTCTGTTTTCTTGTTGTGTTGTCATTATTCAGCCAAAGTCTGTCTTGTGTAAAGTCTGTGAAGTTGGATGAGGGTTTTTTTTTTCCTAAATTCCCTTTAGTTAAAAACTCTGGGAATATCAAGAGTCGTGTCTGCATCCTCCTGCTGATAAAAACAGGGAAATTTCTGCGTTGGCTAAATTGCAATGTATTGTTAAGCCACATATTGTAAATCTGTAACTTCCCATTACTGGGATTTCTGACTCACCAAATTCTCTGAGCTGCAGTGATGAAGACAATGCATCAAGGAGACGAGGACTGTTTTGGCTGTGAAATGTTTATTAAATCTCTCCATTACATAATGGCACTGGAGGAAGGAAGACTGGAAATTGGTCCATGTGGTCAGAAGCTTCCAGGAACGGGCAGCAATTTCAATAGCTCCCATTGCTCATATTTTCTTTTCCTATGGAATATTGTATTTACCTGTTTCTATAGCCCCATGCAAGAGCTTCATTGCTTGCCAACCTGCAAGTTTTATCCCTGAAAAATAAAACCACAAGATTTAATATGGGAGAACCTCATGTAAATGGAGAAGTGAAGTCCTCATCAGACCTGGGAGCAGCAGCACTGGACGTGCAGTGTTTAACCAGCGAGCATGCGTGGTTGGGGCCTTCTGTTACATCTCAGGCATCAGAAATACAGGGAGAAGGTGCTATTCCTGGGTACAATGTGAAAGTGAAATTACTGGGGGACTTGGGGGAGGAAGAAATGGACATCATCTTACAGGGGGAAACACGAGGCTTAGTTCAGTAGTAGTCATCAGCTCCTCATTTTGAACTCTCTATTTAATTCTTTTTTTCTTTCTGTTGTTACCTTGCATCCACCTTCAGCACTTGGGAGGTTGGCCCTTTTGCTCTTTGAATTTTGCACTTCACGTGGCAGGCATGTCCACGTGTTTTGAGTGTAGCAGCCTTTTGTTTGGTCCTGAGACTCTGCATCTATGTGGGCACCTATGTCAGCAAAACTGGACTCTGCCTTGGAAACAGGTTGGATGAGTAAATTGACGCTCCATCCTGTGATCCATCTCCTCCAGTTGGTGCCTCCTAGAAATGCTGTTTCCTTTGGTGGTGGTGGTGATTTTTTTTCTGCATGATCAGCTCAGGCAAACCATTTCCTTCTGCCTCTCAGCAGTGCTGGAAAATCAGAGAGGATATGACCTTAGATCAGTCATTCTGTGGTAGCAGCACAACACCATTCCTCCGTTGCCATGCAGAACAATCACTCTTATCTGCTTAATTATCTGGGATGTCTCATAGCAGTGCACATGGCTATTTCAGACATCTGGGTTGTTTTCCATGTAAAACAGATTGTCAAATGCTGTACCTCCCAAGTGTCAACTCAGAAAACCTTTTACACACTCGAGTTCATTTAAACAGTTTGCTCATGCAGAAAAGTATCCCAGCAGTGAAAACAGGGTGGAAATGAAGAAGGCAATGGGTCATGTCTAAAGGGTGATGGTAGGAAAGATTAACGTGTCAGTGGGGAGCTTTGAGAAGAATGGGGTTATGGCTGGACTGGGAGTTTCCAGCAGCAATGAGACTGACAACATGTATGTAACATCAGTTAGAATTAAAAATTGATGGAGTGTAAAGTTGCCAGGGAGATTTAATGAAAGGAGAAAGTAATGTGAATAAATAGCATAAAACACGCTAACCTTAAGGTTGCCTTGGTCCTTGCTCCCAGGCATTTCATTTCCACTGATGCTTCTTCGTTTCTCTATGTTTTATTTTATTTTTTTTGGGGGGGGGGGAGGGGGGGGGATCATCAAACTTTCTGTCGTGGTTTCCTAAGGCAGGGCACAGAAACCCTTCTTAGTGACTGGCTTGAGTTTGCTGGTGACCGGCATCCTTGGTTTGCCTTTTTCCGATGTTCTGCACACCAGCCTCTACTGACTTCTATGCACTAATTGTCTTAATTCAGCGCGAAGCTGCTACAAGGGCCAGAGACTTGCACTCAGAAATCCCTGTGGTGCTGAGCTGCTTTGTTCTATTGGGTTTTGTGCGGGATACAGAGAGGCATTTGCTTGATTCGTTAGTGAATTTGGGGCTGTAGCTGCAAATGCCAAAGAACAGGCTGCAAGGGGACTGGAGGTGCTGGAGGAGTAAAGACAAACTGGTTTGTTTGTATTTTTCCTGTGCAGCATGCACTTTTGGTGGGGACTGTGCAAACAAGCCTGTGAGATGCAGTCTTTGAGGGTTTTAGCACGTCTGTCCTGTTTGTATAGATCATGGAAACAATACAATTTTTCACAGTTTCAGTGGAGATGGGACAGGTCCTTTTGTCACTCGAACCAAGCAACTGTTTGAAGGAAATATGTAGAGGTGCAGTATATTTCGCTGTCAAATTAATGCGGAGGCAGCCATTTCACAGTGCCTCCCCTGCTTGAGCTGGCAAAGCAAGCCCTCTGTGCTTGCTCGCTTGGAGCAGTCTCCTTTTGGCACACTCTCTGTAGATTGCATTCTTCTGCTCCGTGTTCCTTCTTCCAGGTCATTGATCTCCAAATCAGGCCAGAAGACAGCATGACCCCATTTGTCACAGGCCCTCTCTATGCTGGAGCATCATGCTCACTAACTCTCTTTGTCCTCAGTCTGCTTTGTAACCTGTCCGCTCCAGCTGCCCTTTCCCTCTGTTGCTTTTGCTGGCCTTAGAAGGCCGGTCATCTGTAGGTTCCAGGACTGAAAGCTTGCTCAAAGTCTAAATGACGTTCTTAGTTTCCTGTTGACACTGTTATTTCCTACTGTGACTTTATCAGAGTCTTAGACCTGATCTTCCTGTCTCACTCGGTGTTGCTGAGAGCTTATTCAAGCTTTGCTCTTTTATTAGCTTCCATCATTTTGCTTTGTTATTTAAAAGGTACCTTGGGAGGGATTTTTTTTTTTTTTAAGTGCTGTTGTTATTGCCAGTGATTTACACAGGGTTGGCTTGGGTCAGCCAGACCCGCTACCTGGTGCTTGTCCTCCCTAGATGTTTCCATTCAATATAAGCTGTTGTCCAGCAGGAGTCAAACAGCAGTTGAGGAGTGCAGGGGTCCTGCCAGCCCTGCAACGGAGCTCAGAGATGAGGGGGCAAGGGGTAGCAGCAGGTACACTCACAGTCCTCGCTCAGCTCCAGTAGTTACCCAGCAAGGAAGAGTCTCTGTGAGCTCTCGGCTCCAGCACACTGCTTTTGCTAGTCGTTTGCACCATATGATATTCGCTCTTGAGACAGAGTAGGACTCCGTTTGGATCATAGTTTTTAACAGCTCTTCACTCGCTTTTGTTTTGCACAGTGGCAGGAATTCCGTGGTCATCACTGAGACATAACCAGTAATACCTGTTAGCTTAAAAAAGCTGTTACTGGACCCTTTAACTTTTTTGGCAAATATTCAAAACCCTCTTTCCTCTTCAGTCTTAAGCAGTCTTTCCCTGCTATAAATAATACACTCTCAGTGACTCCATTCTAAAAACATATGGAAAACTGCTTCTGAGCTAGAGGATCAGCTGCGACTGTGTCTATCAGCAGGGCCATTTTGGCAGCTTAACGAGATGACTATTTAGGCAGCTGGAGATCAAGCTTTCAGGAATAATGAACATGGTTGCTCTTCATAGGAAACCAGACACTTCAGAAATGGTTTCCTCTTGATTCTGGGAAAGAATGTAGTTGTTGAAAGGAACCAAACTTCCAGCACGGAAATGCAGGGAAGAACAGCCTAGATTCTGGCCAACTTGTAGGGACCTTGGCCAGCCACACAGGCGGGGGCGGATCTGTTCCGCCAGAGTTATAAGCAAACCCTCTTGGCAAGCTGTCTGTTATTTGGGTTTGCTGAAGCACTGAAGCTAAGCACTGCTGCCCATTGGCCTCCTGGACCTTTGTGCAGTCCCAAAATGTGGGAGCTACTGGTTACAGACTATTCCTTACAAGGGGTCTTCAGGAATTTCTGCCAGAGTTGCACCTACAGGAACCGGTCCAATTCGACAGGAAAGCATGTGTGTGCTGGCAGCATCCCACTGTGGGCTCACGTCCGTAACAAAGTGCGCAGAGATAAGGTTGGCCTGACTTGCTTGTCTGTTGCTTCTTGGGGTCTCTGCAGTGTGAGCAAGCAGGGAGAAACTTTCTCTCTGCTGGTTATCTTCTTTAGGGAGAGGGGAGGGGTGTGGGGGCACTTGTCTCTGTAGCTGTCAGCAGCATCGAACTAGTTTGTTGATGGTCTGAAAGAGAGTGTGAGCATGATTGCATCTAAGATCTCCCAGAATATACTGCAGCTGCCGTTGTTTCAACATTTACCTCTGCCTGTCAGAGAATTCTGCTTTTGCTTGGGGTTCTGTGAGAAGCAGGAGCCGTGCTGCAGAAGTAGCTCTACTTACTGAGTGCATTTTTGTTTGCTCATGACAGTAAACTCAAAATGCAGAGTCAACTGCAATTGCCTCCTGCTGACTTTACTGTGCCTCAGTGTTCAAGAGCAAAGCGTTACAAAGCCATCTCAGGAGGCACCAAAGTCTGCTTGCTTTGGCTGGTTCTGATTGCTGATACAAGTCTCCATGCAGACAGGTCTTTTTTGCCTTTTGCCAGTCTAGCATGAGCTGAGTGCCACTCCTCAGGTGTTAAGATGTGATTGGACTCTCCCAGGCAGTACTAGAATGGCTGGGTGATGTTTGCATGCTTGGGTCAGCTGCTCCCCAGCCTCACAACTGTCCACTCAAAAGAGACCAAGCAAAGCTGAAAATGGGAGGTCAGGGCTTTGTGTCAGAACCTGTTTCTGTTTAATGAATTCTTGCAATAGCAGGTCCAGGTGTTCTTTCTGCCTCTGTGCTCGAATAGAAATGAAAAGGAATAGGCAGGCTGAAGGAGGACAACTTTCTGTGATTTCTGGGCCCATTGTCTCCACTTCTTCTATGTCAGATCCTGACAGAGGTTTGGTTTGTTACTTGTCTCTGTATAGATCGTGACATATTTCTCTTCCTTGATCTCACTGTTAAGGTCATTATGTCTTTTGAATTTGGTGGAATATAGTCCTTCTTGGAAGTGATTAGCTTCATAGCCAAGAGCTTTGAAGTTCTCCAGCTTGGCTTTTTATTTCAGTGCAGTAATTTCACACTCATCCAACCTCACCTGTCTCTACAAAACTGCAGAGGGAGACAGTTTCCTCTATTTCAAATCAGACATATTTCAGAAATCTCTCCTCCCCTTTTCTGACTCCTGGCCCTGTGGAATGGGATGAATTTGGCTGTCTGTTAACGTGCCTGTTGTGCTACAGCAATGAATGTGGTCTCTCTTTCGAAGAAAGCTGAGGTTATTGGCTTTCAAACATTGATTTTTGCTCGCCAAGGTGGCCTCTGTTGTTGAGCAGACACTGCATGCGTGTTTCTGGATTTTCCATGTGTGTGAGTCCTCATCAGCCCTTAGAGAACCACACAATATCTGAGTGTCCTGTTACCTGAAACCAGGGAAACCTTGGAACATGTGTTCTCCTTCAGAAAAGAAGTAACATGCTGAAAGTGGTAGTGCTCTGCTCACTTACAGAAGCATTTCTGGCTAGCTGATTTCTCTGAAGTCTGTTCCTAGCTCATGGGTAACTTCCATGTTTTTCAGCTGGACCCACAGGCACTGCAGGACAAAGACTGGCAACGCACAGTCATCTCAATGAATGGAGTAAGTATGGAAAGTGGAAGTTAGCACTGCTTCTCTACTTATTGTGTGATTTATTTCTTTGCTTTTCATTGCAGCATTAAAAAAAAAAAAAAAAAGAAAATGTTTGAAAAGTAACAGCGGTTCTCTTTTATTCAGGTGGAAGTGAAGCTGTCAGTGAAGTTTACCAGTCGGGAGTTTAGCCTGAAAAGGATGCCGTCCCGGAAACAAACTGGGGTGTTTGGGGTCAAGATCGCTATTGTCACCAAGTGAGCTTATGGGTCACATTTCTCCTTCTTATTTGTGAGAAAGCCAACTGGCCAGTGGGTTGCACCTGTCTTTACCCCACCGATAGATTTGTCAGTCCAGCCTGTTCCACTTGGGTAGTAGCATAGATGGCTGTGGCTGCAGAAAGGAGATGCTGTACATTCTCTGAGCTTCGTTTTTTGCGGGGGAAAAACCAGCATGCACACAGGCTTTGAAACCTAGGGTGTTTACTTACAGCATCTCACTTTTTTGAGTTCCGGAAATACCCTTTGCCCCTTCGCTCTGTAGTTAGCTGACTAGGTCACAAATTTCCAGAGCCACTGAACACTGAGTTTCCTTTCCATAATCGGAAATGTTCAAGTTCTTTGGACCCTGTTGTATTATTTTAACCCCTGATCTTTTGTCATGAATCGTGTGCCAGAAGAAACCTGTTTGTTCTGTTACATGGTTTGGGAAGTGTGGTATTTCCTCCCTATGGAATTGCATTAATTGGAAATCATCAGTGTTGCTATGTATCCACGGTCTGTTTGGGAATCCCCTGGTTACCTGTGCAAGTGGCAGACTCTGGGGGCACTGGGACCTGGCCAGAGCCCAAGTGCTCAGGGTAGCTGCAGAACGGCCAAAGCCAGGCAGAGACACTCAGAAAACCCTCTCCAGTCTTTAAGAGGAGTTTTTCAGCTCAGTCTTGTTTGCCTGTGTAGGCTTTCTCCCACCCCAGTTTCCAGAAGAGGTTTGCACAGCAAAATGCCGGGGTGATTTTAGCCAGCCCGGCTGGCTGGGGTAACAGGCACTGAGGGCAGGGGCTGTACTGAACTCTCCCGTCTGGCTTTCTTAAGGAGAGAGAGATCGAAGGTGCCTTACATAGTGCGCCAGTGTGTGGAGGAGATAGAGCGGCGTGGAATGGAGGAGGTGGGCATCTACCGTGTCTCTGGGGTTGCGACCGATATCCAAGCTCTGAAAGCTGCCTTTGATGTCAGTAAGTAATTATGCCTGATGTTTTCCTTTGTGCTGTGAGAAGCTGCATGAGCTCCCTGTCAGGTGGCTATGCTATTTTTAATCTTATGTTCCCCAAGAAGCATTAAGAGGTAGAGATTCTCACTCAAGAAGAACAATTTTAACCCTGACTGCATGTTTTATTAATATTCTTCAGCTACAGATACAACCTAAGACATACAACAGGATGGATCCTTATACCAAATAATGCATTTGTTATTCTTCCCAGCAGACATGAAATGGTGGGTTTGCCTGCCGTGCCAAATCTTTGTAAATGGCAGACACCTTCCTCAGGGGAAGTGGCAGCAATCAGAAGCCATAATTTCCTCACTATTGTGAGGTCTCCGAATTAATAGAGGTCCTTGAAATTGAGAATGTTTTGTGAAAGGAAGGCAGCAAAAAGAAATCTCTAAGGTTGACTAGGAAGGGTGTTACAAAACTGAAGTTGGGTGGTCAGGGCTCCCGAGTTCTCTTCTTAACTCTGCGTCTAGATTGATGTGCGCAGATTGTAAAATTAGATAATTTTGACCAACCTTTGTAAAGTTTTCTTTGATCTTGAGCAGCAAAGGGCTTCTTACTGGTGCTGCATTTAAAAGAATGGCATGTATGTCCCAAAAGGCATCCAAGGTCAGGCAGACAAAACACATCCAAATTGCTGAGGTACAAAAAATTAAATTCTGCCCTACTTCCAGCTGCCACATGACGGTCCAAGCCACACTCGAGCTCTCTTTTGATGGAAGCAGTCATGAGGCCTGTGCCAGGTGCCCAAACTCACCCTCCCTGCACTTCACTTATTTTGTGGAATACCTTCTTGTATTTTTTTTGCAACCCCCCATAGCTACCAAATACATTGATTTATGAATCTTCACTAGTGCAAGTAATGGTGTTTCATGTTTTGAAAACCAACTTTTTTCATTTATATCAAATGCTGTATTACAGTAAGCCTCATGAAACCAGCGCTGGCTCTGCTGGTGG